TAATTAGAACTGAATTTTATGGTTTTTTTGCCATCAAAATGATGAGAATGGAAGAAGGAATTACTGGCACATTATGTTCCATTACAGTTATAAGTCTAGGACAGATAACCCTCAGTGCTTGCTTTTAAACATGTCACCCTGGATGTTATTTTCAAGGAGTTCAGTTTGATGTTAAAAGACATGTCATAACTTTGAGAATCCAGGCTCCAGCGTCCCAGAAATCTGTTTATATAGCTCATAATGTAATTACAGCTACCTTAACACAGATGAGGCAGAAGGCAGCAATATATTGAAAACTAATTGAAAAATGCAGTTGTCCAGAAGCACTTGCAGGGAAGAGGTCTCTGAAAAGCTACGCAAAGCTTCAGAGTTTGAAGTGAAATTTTTGATGTTGTCACTCTCAATCTATTGAATGGCTGACAGACAATCAAACCCGTCTGGCTGGCTGGCAGCTCATTTTGCTGGCAGGTGGCAAACAATTAGACACACCAATTTGTGCCTCCTGATGACATTAAAGCATGAAACTAAGTTGTATGCAGGGCCTAGTGATTTGTGTGAAAGCATTTCAAAAATAATACTCTTTGCCGTGGCAACTCATTTCAGACTGCCACCTCCCATTATAGCTTTGAGCAGTGAAGATGACAGGCTTGAGTTACGTGCAGCGCAAGGCCGCTTCTGTTCAATCCGTCATCAGCGCCCCTCGAGACCTCAATCCCCTCCTTTCATCAATATCACCTCATCATTTACATTCGATAGTACTTGACCTGCTGCATACATTAACTACACAGAAGTCCCATTTGATAAAATGTGCTGGAACATGTTTTGTGCTTTTACATTTCATTTATAGTTATACAAGTTCTAAGAAATAATGCACTGCAACACATATATACGTTACTCTAAGCAAGTACCATTGCCAATTTTGTTATTAAAAAAGAAATATTCAGTGTTATAAAATTGTATTAGATAATAAAAGTGAACACTGCTTTGAATTTATTTACATGAGTTTTGGTAAATTTTCATTTGACCCCCCAATATATATAATAAGAGGTTGCAATTTTAAAAAAAATTGCTTTAAAAGCACACAGCTCTTCAAAAAATAGTTTAATTATTTTACCATTATTCCAGTGGTTTCTTTCATAAGAATCACCATAACCCCCATGTAAGAAATATTTATCTTGTAGCACCTGGTAATGTACATAAACTTTCAAAGAAAATACCATGTAAAATATTAATTGTCTCCAATTTCTTAAATAAACTAATAAACAAAAATATACCTACAAATCTATTACAGATTTTCCAACACAAATAATTATTTTAATACTTTCCTTCTAGACAAAAAAGGTTTTTAGGTATAGCCCGGAAACACCAGGACAGAGAACAACTAGCCTGCAACTTCAGTCTTTCAAAGATAATAGAGGAAGGATAGGAGGAAAAAATCCACAAAGCATTACAACCTAAAATACAGACGTATTGTTTCTAAGTGGCTCTCTTAATGCATTTCTATGCCAATCTCTTACATATACTTTTAAATCTACTATCAGGTATTTCTCAGCCCATGGGTTGTAACCCCCAAAACAGATTTCAGGAAAGTCAAGGTGACCCTCTCTCTTTCTCCATTTTATAGTCTTCCATTTATTTTTTTAGAAAAAAAAAATGTCTCCACGGCCTATGTCTCCTTACAGCTAGGAAGATAACATTGAAAACATGAACTAAGTGCAAACTGATGCCATGATACCTGCCTGAACCTGCGGGCAGCCCACATTAATACTTTTGGATATGACTGTTCCATTCATCTCTGCCTAGGCCCTATGGACTCTGATACTGCAGCCATGACATTTGGCATTTTTTCCAAATTGTCATGGAATTCAGTATTTTTCTATTCTGTCATATATAACATTCTGGTTTGTCTCCCTGCCCTGCTGGGACCTCCCTGCAGTGGTCTTTTGGTCTCCCAATTGGAAGTTAATTAGATTACAATGCATGTTCCCTACACTGTTCCATGGAACCAGGCAGCAGGGTGTCTTTTTTCCTCTCTTCTATGGATCTATCTATTGCAGCTTTCCTCTATGGCAGATTTAGATCAAAGCATGCACCAGGATGCTTGTCAGGAACCACAGTACTTCAAAGGAGCCACTGCAGCAGATGACAAGGGAACCTGAGCACGCATAAAAGCATGGAACACTGAGCTATTTGGGAACCAAGAATCCATCTTTACAAAAGAAAACCTTTAGATTCTTCTAGTGAAAGTTTATGGGTTTACAAAATCAGAAGACAATTTTAATAGCAATACAATATACACAAAAACCCTCTGAGCATTTCCCAGTAACACCAAGTGTAATAGCCAAAGCTGCCCAGCCTCACATAACTGGGGAAAACACTGAATGCTCCCTGTGTCTCAGATGGGGGAAATCTGCTGCTGCCAGTCAAATTAAAGCTGTTCACTTTTTCCAGTGACTAATTTATAATAGCTACAAGAATTGCTGTTTAGCCAAGTAAGGACAACTAGTACTACTTAGTACAAGTGAATGAAGATACAGGTGTGTCTTCTTTTTCCAACTTTTAATATCTGTCTGGTATGAGTGGGAAGGAATCAAACACAAGAACTTCCTGTTTTGCTGTCCACTGACAGGATATGCTACATTCCTTGCTGAATACGGCTCTGCTGTTACAAAATACTTTACTGATCAGCACTGGCCTTCTCTGAATTATTCTTTCTAGAGGTGGAATGTGGTATGTGTCAAACTGGGATTTGTCAACGTGTATCAGGAGCACAGTCTTGTTGCAACCACCCTGCCCTTCCCATATTAGTAAGTGGGAGGGAGCCCTCAGCTAAGGGGGACCCCAGACATCCCTGATGAGGGTAAGGAGAGGATGTTGGTATAGAAAAGATTGAGAACCACTGATCTACACTTGGACTAAATCCTGAGATAATCTGCTTTGACTAGCAGGCAGTGCATTCAAAGATTGGGACTCAGTCTTTTCAGTCACTCTCTTTCACTGAGCTCTCTTGCTGATTAAAGGAGTAAACTGTGCCACACATAAACCTAGTGCAGCACATGCTGTCAAGTGCAGCGTTACAGCAATGCCACCCTGCACAGTAAGGGGTAGAGTCAATGGTCTGCCCATTTCCCCGCTCCATTACATCCCGTCTCCCACACATGCACTGAGCAATGCAGATAGCCAGTGCAGGGGCACCTCCTCACGCACCTGTGCCACTGCATTAGCCAGGACACAGTTTGACCCTGTACTATTAAGAAAATAAAACCAACAAAATACTTAATGTCTATACAACATTAATAAAGTTATTAAAAAGCTGACAATTGCATATAACCTTAGGCCCTGAATCTGTATTGAGAACCATTAATGTAGATGCACAAGTTTGCCTGGAGTCTCACAGAAATTAATAGGATTCTGTGCGGGTGAAGATTCTGATGAAGACTTAGATGCACATGCAGTGCTACAATCAAAAAGGAAATTTAATATGTTAAAGTTCGAGTATTTACTATTTCTTAGGCAACTATCATGTAATTTGTAAATAGCGTACATGCTGTACGGATAAATGTAAAAGAAGACAGCTTTGAATATATTTGGGAATATGATGGTTGCTCACACAGAAAAAACCACAAACCTCAAAGGTTTTTCATCTATTTTTCCCCCTTGAAACCAACCCAAATTACCATATGTAAGTTGATGAATGGGAAAAAAAAAGCTTCTTCCTAATAAAGTAGGCAATAAGTAGATTGTCTCTCTGAAATGATCAAAAGAACGAAGATTTTTTTTGGGAAGACCACATTTCCTTTTTGATATTCAGTCCCAGTCCATTGTCTGCCTCTCTTTTCCAACAGGTACAATCTCATTGTTTATTAATTAGTTCACTGAGGCCGCTTCCAACAATTTTGTCTTATCAGCTTCACTATACTTGTGTAATGAAAAGTGCTTCCTAACATCATATAATAAGTTTTTATCCTGCAATTTTCATTTATCCTTTTTCTCCTTACTATTTACAATAACCTGGAACTATTGACTGGATTTTGTTTCCATTAACATTTTATGGACAATAATTTAATCCTCTATTATGAGAATTTTTGTGTGTATTTCATACATCTGTAGCAGTTTTCCTCTATCATATTTTAAACCTGAAATACTTATTTTTGAAGTACCCTCAGAATTTTTTTTCAGGATGTGGTTATACGAATCGTAAGTAATATAATTTCTAAAGCACTATTTTACAGTTTTGCCACACATCAAAGCTCGTGCTGGATTGTTTAATTATTTGTTTAACTGATTCTTCTCTTGCATAGGTTAAGGATGAACACACAATACAAGTAACTCCTTTTTTGCAGGATGTTGTCAATTGCATCTCTCAACACAACTCCTATATTAAGACTTATGCAGCTGGTGTGGTTGCCTCAAATTAAGCTACTTTAACCAGTAGTGTGAGCATTTTCAGTCAACCATGCGAAAAAAAAAATATGGCTCACAATGTAAAATGTGTTCCCTTAAAATATAAAAAAAATTGGGCTTAAAACTTTAAAAATGAAATACAGGAGTCAGTCTCAATCTTGTTCTTATGGAAGTATGCACACAATCTGGCATGACTGATTTCACTACTGGAAGAGGACTGGTATGACAAACATTTGGAAGCATTTTGTTGGGACTTCACACAGCCAGTCTCTTGTATATAAATAGAGACTTTTCCCCATTCAAAATATGGTTTTAAAAGAGAAAAAAAAGTTTTATTACAACAACAGTTCTTTAAAACAGGCTTGTTCTTCCAGCACCAATTACAGTTTTATTTGGTGCTTAGAGAGAAAAACAATGTGAATAACTTTTGCAGATACTGTATGGTCTGGTTTTAGTAATGCCATGAAGAAGTAAAGCAACTGTATTTTCTTAATACTATCTAATCTGAATTCACACTGGACTATCAACATGTTAACAAATAAATACTCCAAATCTCAGCATTACAACAATATAAAATAATTAACTCAGCCATATACCTGTCAAAGGAGTGAAACTGCATGGGAAGAATTGACTGAGCTTCCCTCTTCAACGCAGGATCTGGGTAAGGGATAGGATCAGGACCACACTCTGCAATTTCAATAGGGGCTGCCACAAGGCTTTTTAGTATCTCCTTGACATTCATGCCTTTGCTTTGGCTGATGCTGGATATTGAAGGTGCAGGCTTCAAGATTTCACTGGGACTTTCTGTTAAGCTTTCCTGAGATTTCTTTACCTCAGAAGACAAAGTAGACAATAATTCACTCATAGCATCAGGGCCTGTGCTTGTCTCTAAGTCTGTCCCATTTAAGATGCTGGGCATCTGCTCCTCTCCAATACCAGAATCTGTATGAGGAATGGAGCTTTCCAGCTGAATATCTTCAACTGGTGTTGGTGTTTCTTTTTCCTTGATATTCTCTGGAAATACAGCAGGAGTCTCTGTAGTGAAAAAGGGTTATAAACAATATTTAAAGCTTAGTCTGGAGTTGTATAACAAATATATCACTGAAGCTTTATAAGATAGAAGCTATCAAGTCTTAGAAAGCATATAAATCTTAGCAAATTAACAACAGAGAACCCAACCCTGCAGTGCACACAAAAACTTTCATTGGTTTCTATGGCCATTTTCTGCACATGAAGGGCTGCATAATGGAGCCCAGAGTTGTGCTACATAATCTCAGTGACATTTTAAAAAATACAATCCACTCCTTATAAAGTTATTAAATGGCAGGACATTGCATGCTAGAACATAGCTTGACATGTTTATTGTGGTAGTCTAAACTCACTACTCAGCTACAAATCAGATGTCAAAACATTAATTTACATACATTACCAGTAAGGACACTGGAAATATGTGCAAAAAAGTTATGCTATTTCATAGCTTTTAAAATCTCTTCAAGTGCTTAATATATCTACTGCTTTCAGGACAATTTAAACTTCCATTTAAAAGAAAATTAAGTGTCTAGCCTTTCTGGTATCCTAGATAACATACATATGTGAACCAACGCTGTGAATCCTTCTTGAGTCTGTAAACAAGACAGACAAATAATAGCTCAAAACTCGGGTAGGGTTTTTTGGCACATCTTGAGAGAATAATGAACACAACTTTCAGATCCTAGGTTGATTCAAATCCCAAATATCAACAGAAACTGAGGGCATGGGGGAAGTGAAATTTTGAAAAATGTCCAGGGCCCCTATTAATAACATCTTGCAAATGTCTGCTTTTCTCAACTATTTACAATGAAACACACAAACAACAACTTCACTATAAAAGCATAGCAATCTGATGCTCCCATTGGAATCCGGCTAGAGCTGTGAAGACCTGCCTCAGATGGTCAATATTTCAGATTACGCTTCAGGGAAACACATATTGTGGTTATCTTTTCAATGCCAGAAAGCCTGAACTCAAACTGAATATTTGTTTGTTTATGATATCAATTTATTTTTATTAAGGATACTTGAGATAAAAACCCTGAAAGTAAAATTTGAATAGTCTGTATATAAATTATGGCCTCTCATGTACTTGTTATTTGTATTTGCCTTGTGATTCTGAGAAAATGGTAAATCTGGTTACTTTGGAAGATAATGTCCTGCAGTATATGTAAATAAAATTCTGCTTTATTAAGGGTTCTAAATAAAACTTTTTTTAACAACGTAACTATCAGAAATTGTATGGTAACAGTTTAGGACTTGAAATTGTAATAGACAAGTGGACTATAATGTCAAAACATTATAAAAGTATATTAGGTACAAATATATTGTATCTTTATTTACACACACACACACACACACACACACACACACACACACACACACACACACTATTATATATATATATTGTGACAGACCCAGACAACTGGGGTACAGGAGTCTGGTAGAGGGCAAATATACTGGTCACTGGAGGAGTAGTTTTCTGTTCCCTGAGTGACCAGAGCAGGGGCTGCACTAGAGTAATCAGGAACCTGCTAGAACCAGTTAAGGCAGGCAGGCTAATTAGGACACCTGGAGCCAATTAAGAAGAAGCTGCTAGAATCAATTAAGGCAGGCTAATCAGGGCACCTGGGTTTTAAAAGGAGCTCACTTCAGTTTGTGGTGTGAGTGTGAGGAGCTGGGAGCAAGAGGCGCAAGGAGCTGAGAGTGAGAGTGTGCTGCTGGAGGACTGAGGAGCACAAGCGTTATCAGACACTAGGAGGAAGGTCCTGTGGTGAGAATAAGGAAGATGTTTGGAGGAGGCCATGGGGAAGTAGCCCAGGGAGTTGTAGCTGTCATGCAGCTGTTACAGGAGGCACTATAGACAGCTGCAGTCCACAGGGCCCTGGGCTGGAACCCAGAGTAGAGGGCAGGCCCGGGTTCCCCCCAAACCTCCCAATTGACCTGGGCTGTGGGTTCTTCCAGAGGGGAAGGTCTCTGAGCTGTTCCCCAACCCACATGGTGAATCTCTGAGGCAAGAAAATCCGCCAATAAGCGCAGGACCCACCGAGATAGAGGAGGAACTTTGTCACTATATATATATATATATATATATAAAAATAACGTACATATACATACACCTCTACCCCGACATAACGCGACCCGATATAACATGAATTCGGATATAACGCTGTAAAGCAGCGCTCCGGGGGGGGGGGGCGGGGCTGCGCACTCTGGCGGATCAAAGCAAGTTCGATATAACACGGTTTCACCTATAAGGCGGTAAGATTTTTTGGCTCTCGAGGACAGCATTATATCGGGGTAAAGGTGTATATGTATTTACATTGTATATGTGAACTGTATAGAATATATTTATATATTATACATACATGCCTTTGAACTAATTTCAACTTAGAACAATTCATATACAATTGTATACCAACAATGTTATACACCATATACTGGCAGATGACCTATTGAGGTCTCTTCCACCCCTAACCATCTATGATTCTATGAACTGCAAACCCTAGAGAAGACCCAAGGAAAATGATTTGTTACTAGGAACACCGTTTTCTTCTTCTAAATGTTGCATGCACTCCCCATTACACATATATACTTTCACAAATAGAATGACATGTCTTTTCCAAAGTGGATACCAACCCCAATTTTTAAATCAGGAAGCAGAAACTGGATTTATGTACTGCAAAGCTAAGAGCAATGTGAAAAGATATATCCCCATTACACACACATTGTCTACTAGTCCACAGAATATTTATCATCATAGATATCTAGCATGATAGAGTTTAAAAAAAGTAATCAGATCAGTGACATGATCTTAATGGATTTTTTGAGACTAAGTTTCCCAATACAAAAATAAGAAAGATAATTCTGAACTGGAGGGAACAAGGGGCTTTGACATCCAGTCCAAGAACACTGTTGCTCTGCTTAAGCTGAAGCTGCTTTATTGGTTTCGTATGAATATCCTGCTCCTTGGGAAGATGAGTGGGTCAAATTGACACAGTCCTGAGCGGAGACTTACAGTAAATATTCATGTTGACTAAATTCTGCAGAGAAAGAGACAGTGACTATATATAGTATCATTCAAAAGTAGACACACCAAAAGATGGCCCATAGTTTGAATTTTTATCTGGTTTACAATAAAAATCCATAATCTACATGTATAAATGTAGGGAATTTAGTATTATGATATATTGCTTCCTGTATAAAGGAATTTCTCTGAAATTGCAAAATATCATACACAGTTTTCAGCAATCACCCCTGGGGTTATTTTAAACAAAGTAAAAATACCTCTTTATTCTCTCTCTAAGCAAAAGTCAAGCCCCAATGCCAGTGCACTTTCTGAGGTTCAAACTGAAGGGTGAATTATACTTTAATCTGGCTTTCTAATAGCAAAGTATTTCTACTCAGCTACATATAATTTTGATATGCAGCCATTACAACATACTTGACTAAATCACAAAACTGGGAAATGTTAAGATTCTAACTTAAAATTACTTATTCATGCATCTAAAATTTAAGACTGAAATATACCATATTTCCCAAAATATCCGCAAACAAAAGAGAGCATTAAGAAAGTTAACTTGCTGTATTGTCCCCATTTATTACAGACCTTTGGTAACATTTCAGCTGTAAGATTAAATTTGATTTATTTATGAATGCAGTCTAGACCCTGATTATTAAACTATAATAATTATGGATTGTTATTTACAATAATTTAGATAAGAAAAAAGCTTTCAATAAAACCACTGTACATACAAGTATATTAAAAGGTATTGTACATCCAGTGAGATCAAACTTTTATCCTCATTCTTTTATTGCCATTCCACAGTATCAATTCCATAAGAAACTGATTGCATTAAACCAACTGAACAGTGTCTTTGATTTATTATTATGAATAGTAATTTCTGCATAAGACTTACATTTTATAATATTTCTTATTGTGTGCATTAAAACTATTTTCCAAAATATCACAGTCCCAATCAGTAATATACTTTAAATGCTCCAAAGTTGCTTTTTATTTGTGGCCACTCTGCGCGCTGCCTGTGCCCGCAGGCACCGCCCCCGCAGCTCCTTTGGCCGTGGTTCCTGGCCAATGGGAGCTGCAGAGCTAGAGTGCAGGGCCAGGTGGGGGGCAGCACGCAGAGTTGCCTGTCGCGCCTCTGCCTAGGAGTAGCCGGGACAGGTTGCCACTTGAGGGGAGCCTCCTGAGGTGAGCAATGCCTTGGATCCAACACCCTGCACCGCCTCCTGTGCCCCAACCCGCTGCCCCGAGCCCCCTCCCGCACCCAAACTCCCTCCCTCTTAGTTAACCAGCATTTTTCACTTAGCTGCACCCCCCATTCTCCCAACATGCCGGATAAAACAGCTTTTACTGTATTTAAGTGCCAGATATGCTAAACATTCGTATGGCCTTTCATGTTTCAACTACCATTGCAGAGGACATGCTTCCACACTTGATGACACTCATTAAAAAAATCATGTGTTAATGAAATTTGTGAATGAACTCCTTGGGGGAGAATTGTATGTCTCCTGCTCTGTTACCTGCATTCTGCCATATTTCATGTTATAGCAGTCTGAGATGATGACCCACCACATGTTGTTCGTTTCAAGAACACTGTCACTGAAGATTTAACAAAATGCAAAGAAGGTACCAATGTGAGATTTTAAAGATAGCTACAGCATTCAAATCTGAGAGGAACAAGGTGTGGAGCATGCTTTCAGAAGTCTTAAAAGAGCAACACTCCGATGAGGAAACTACAGAACCCAAACCACCAAACCCCAACCCTCCCAACTAACCTTCTGCTGGTGGCATCTGACTTAGATGATGAAAATCAACATGCATTGGTCCACGCTGCTTTAGATCATTGTCGAGCAGAACCAGTCATCAGCACTGATGCAGGGGTCAACAACGTGTCCATACACTGACACAAGTGTCCACGGTAAAATTTTGAGGTCTGTGGGGGGGCACTCACGGGCGGCTCCCTGCAAGCGGCTCCCCATCCCCACTG